TTGCCATATGATCTAGCAATTCCACTTCTAGGTATACACCCACAAGAAATGAAAGCAGGTACTCCAACAGATATTTGTACCCCTGCTTTCATAGCAGCATTATTTGCAATAGCCAAAGATGGAAACAACCCAAATGTCCATCAATAAATGAACAAAATATGATATATACATTCAACAAAATGTTATTCAGCCTTATAAAGGAAGGAAATTCTGACACATGCTACAACATGGATGAATCTTTTTTTTTTTTTTGGTGCTTTTTCTCCCCAAATCCTCCCAGTACATAGTTGTATATTTTAGGTGTGGGTCCTTCTAGTTGTGGCATGTGGAATGCCGCCTCAGCGTGGCCTGATGAGTGGTGCCATGTCCGCGCCCAGGATCCAAACTAGCGAAACCCTGGGCCGCCAAAGCTGAGTGAACTTAACCACTTGGCCACGGGGCTGGCCCCTGGATGAATCTTGAAGACATCATGCTAAGTGAAATCAGCCAGTCACAAAGGACAAATATTGAATGAGTCCACTTCTCTGAGATTCTTAGAATAGTCCAACTCATAGAGACACAAAGTAGAACAGTGGTTGCCAGGGGCTGGGGGGAGGGGGAATGGGGAGTTAGTGTTTAATGGGTACAGATTTCAGTTGGGGAAGATGAAAAAGTTCTAGAGATGGATGTTGGTGATGGTTGCACAACAGTGTAAATGTACTTAATGCCACTGAACATTACTTAGTGGTTAAAATTTATGTTATGTATATTTTACCACAATAAAACTAGCAAAGAAAAATAATAGATGGATTTTACTTTTAAAATGGGTTTTCCAGCTTCTCTAAAATATGGAATTTTATGACCCCAAGTCCACATTTCCTATGGCGGCAGAGGCCTGGGCCTTGGACAAGGACAGAGCCAAAGGGCTTTTCTTTTTGGGGAAACCACCACTGAAAATCTTTTAGCATGCAACTTTGAAGGAAATTGCTCTTGAGAAGAACCTGATCGCTTTCAAGTGACTTTCCTGCAGATGTTTGAGAAGAATTTAAGATGTGAATTCTTAATGTAAATTATTTGGGGAGAAACGTTTCTTACTCTGCCTGGTTCTCTCTTTTACATGACCTGCCTGGCCCCTGTAGCATTCACTTTCTCCTGCTCTGTCCCAAGCCTGCTTTGCCACTCGGGGTGGAGTTCTTGGAATAAAACTGTATGTGGCCCCTTACTCATCAGCACTGAAACAGAGAGAAAGCTTTATGAGCACTTCTGATTTTCTCTTTGGGTGTCTCCTTTCACTTCCAGACCAAATGAACCCTCTGGCTCTTGCTTCTCTCTCACTAGCTTGCTCTGCAGGGAGCAGGGTGCGTAGTGTGCCTGCTTTGCCACATCCTCTCCGTGGGCTGAGCTGCTGGGCCTTGTGATCGGAGCTGCAGCAGGTGCTGCCAGGGTCAGACCCTGAGTCATCAAACCTGCTGCCTCTTGTGCCACATCTCCTTCCATCCCAAAGCCTCCGTTCTTCTGTTCTTGTCCAGGCCCTCAGCCATGCACAGTCTCGACCTGGCATTTGGCTTATAGCCAGACTCTCTTGCCTCTGCCATCACCAGGGTAATCTTCCTAATCCCAGGTTTGGCCAAGTTACAACCCTGCTCAGACGCCTTTGATGGGTGTCCTTTGCCTGTTGCCCCAATCTCAGTCTGACATTTTCAACCTTCCCCAGTTCAACTCCAACCATCTTTCTAGACAGTGCTCATGCCCACTGCCACTGCAGGCCTGTCTGCTGCTGCCAGCCCAGTCACCTCCCTGCACCCAGACCTCCTGCACATGCCCACCACTATGCCTTGCCCACAGCATTCCCCCATCTGGACTGTTTCACTTCCTGTCTGCTTATCGAAATGGTCCACCCTTCAGTGCCCATCTTTCCTCCTCCCTCCCAGAGTGACCCCTTGCCCACAGGACACTTCTCCAGTGAAGCCTGCAGCCGCTCAGCTGGTGGCCTTTCCTGGTTCTTACCCCATCCCATTTGGGGTTCCAGGTACCTTTCCACATTTCTGAACCAAGGTCCTCTCTGGAAACACTAAGGCGTTGCTTAGCGAGTCTGGTGTCCATAAAGACGTGATCGATTCTTGTCTGTTTGGATAAATTCTCCTTAATGAATACTACCAACTTGCTACCTTTTCCAAGTGACCTGTCTCCAAGTGAAGACAGCTGTTGTCACTGATGGTATGTCTCAAACGCCCCACTACACGGTTTACCTGTCTGCAGGACAATACATTATAAGAGTTCACGACAAGTCTGGAAGGGGCTGAGGGATTGGATCCCTTCATTTACGTAGCTTCCTTGAAACTGCTGCTTCCTAACACACCACACTCGAGTGTGATTACCTGCTCACCGGTTCCTCTCCCCCATTGCATCGCGGGTTTGGGCGGCGGGGCTGGTGTCTGCCTCATTCCTGCTCTATCTCCAGTGCATATACAGTGCCTGGCACATGGTAGGTGTTCAACAAATACTTGTTGAAAGATGAAAAAGGGGATGCCCCCTTCCCGCATTTCAGTATTTGAAATCCCCCAAAGGAGTCATTATTATTCTAAATTTCCTCACCCACTTCCTGGGCCCTGCCAGTTCCCCCATGCTCCAAGCTCTGGAAAACCCCTTCCCTTCCTCGTTCTGCAATCTGTAAGAGTCTGGAGGCCCAGGTTTGGGGTTGCTTCTCTTTTAGCTACCAGTAGGGAGCCCACACCCAGACACGTCTGCCCTCAGACTTGCTCACAAATCCTAGCTGGAGTGAAAAACAGTTGCTTCAGGGTCTGGTCCAGGCTCCAGTCTGACAGACACATTTTGCCCATCAAGCACTCCTGCACCACCCCACGCCCCTTGCCCCCACCGTGGCACTGTGGATCCTGCACTTCCCTGGGGTTCACACAGGCTCACAGAGGCGAGGGCCCCAGAAGAGAGATGTTGAAGCTCACACTTCGTCTAAGGACCCCTCCCATGCCGACAAATACAAAGTCATCAGTGTTGAAACATCTGTGTCCCCAAGGTCATCAGGAGGGGCTTCTGGGGTGCTGGTAATGTTCTCTGCTTGACTTGGGTGGTGGTTACACGTTATTTGCCTCATAATAATTCATTAAGCCACACATTTCCATTCTATACACTTTTCTGAGTTGTATTTCACAATAAAAAAGACAAGAAAAGAGAGCCCTCTCCCCCTCCCCCAAGCCCTTAATCCAGTCAGTCCGTGTTTAACCAATGTCTGTCTGCGTCCAGCCTCTGCTAGAGAGGGAGATTCTTGTCCTCAAGGAATTTCCTGGAGAAAGCAAAGTAACTGGAGCAACAAAAGACACCGACTCCAGCTCTAAATTATATCTGGAAAATAGGCCACGCTGTCATGATTTTGAAGAGGAGTCCAGAGGTCAAGGAGGTGGTAGGACTCAAACGGAGCCTGAAAATATGGGCAGGGTAAGTGCGGAGAAGCAGAGGAGGGCATTTTAGCCGAGAGAACAGTATGAGCAGAAACTGTTAGGTGGGCTGAGCCTGATGTGTTTTGGGGGCAATGAAGAGACCCTGGCACTGCATAGTTTATGGCAGTAAGACTGGCTTGGAAAACCCCAGATGCTGCCCCCAGCCCCAAACGTGGGCAAGGTGGACGCCACTTATAGCACAAGCCTGCCTCATCGGAATGGAGGGGTCTGCACCCTTGTGCAAGAGCAGATGTGTGCGTTTCACATTTCTAGGTTGATTTTGTTGTTTTGCTCAAGCCACAGGCCCATGTGGGCTCATAATCCCCATTCCAGACAGACTGGAAGTTACATCTGCGAGACACATTACACAGGCACCCGCATTCCTGCAGAGACACTTGCTCAATCCCTGACTTCTAACCCTGCCCCGCCCTGCAGCTGCCTTCCAGTCCCTGCACCGAGAAGCTGTTTAGGCGTGGGTGCGCATGGAGGGGGCACGAGAACCCAGGACTGGAGATTCAGGGACAGTGAAGTGTGACCGGCTGTGAGATGACTCCACCCCTCTTCCTCAAGGGCCTTAGAATTTGAGGATGTCACCCACGGTCACAAAGGATGTGGCTGGCCATCCGAGACTGTGTAAAGGTGCCCTGAAGGGCCAGGAGGTGCCGCAATTCCAGGCAGGTCACTAAGTTTAACACAAGGAGGCAAGATTGGGATGCATTTCCACTTACTTTAGGGAGCGGAAATCAAATCAGTTCTAAATACTCTGTACACACAGAGAGTGACTATGATGAGGAATGAGGCCTATAGCAGGAGAGAGCTGCTAATAATCATAACAGTAGTAGTAATGATGATAGTGATAAGTACGAAGCATGAAGATGAGCTGTGTGCCTAGCTTATGCTAAACATTTACTACTTTCACTTAATCCTCACAATAATCCTATAACGTGGATGCTATTATTATTTCCATTATACAGTGAAGAAACTGAGGCCTCGAGGGGCGAGCTGCTTTCCCAAAGTCATACAAATGATAAAAGCAGAAGTAGGATCTGAATTCCAGCAGTCTGCCTCCAGAGCCCATAGCCCTGTCTGGGCCTGGAGAGGATGTCCTCCCTCACCGACCAGAGCACACCAGCCCCTGTGGTCATTGTGACCCTTTTCTTAAAGACCATCTGGCAAATTTTGCTTGCTCTGGTTTCTCATTAAACAATATTTGGGCTTGGCTTCTCATACGACTCACATACAGGGAAAGAAGGCCATGATCTGCCAAGCTGACAGCTGTATTTTTCATTCGTAAATTAATAAACTGGCTGCCTGGGTTCACACATGTATCCACTTCTGATGACTTGGTTAAGGTGCGCCCACCCTGGAGCTAAAGCCCACCATGTGCCAACTTAATTGAGATTCCGAGCATGCAAGGGTAGCCCCCGGCCACAGCCTGTGTGCCAAGGAAATCCCTCTTGGCCTCCTCCCACAGACTTGGCCAGCCTTCCCCAGTGACAGCCTGGCTCTTTGGATTCAAGCTGCCTGGTCAGACTGCAAGGGTCGTCTGCGGAGAGAAGGAAGCAGCAGTGCCAGGTTCCAGCGTGCGTTCCAAGTTCCACATTCCGTGTGCAGACACCCGGCGCCAGAGCAAAGGCCAGCCCTTGGCAGGGGACTGGTAAGAGTTCATCTGGTACATTTTTCCCTCTACACACAGAACCTGGGGCTTCCTGGATTTCCCAGTCTCTCTGCTTTCATTCACAGTGGCTCCTGAAGCTGGCGACCAGCTGGGTTACCTAGGGAACATTTTTTCCTTAATCATTTAATTGACTCGTCTTATTTAGGAGCAGAGAATGTTTTGCTCTATATACAAAAGTGCAGTTTTAAAAACATTACATCCTAAAATAATGGGGAATAGGTGGGCTAAATAATTTTCTTTTTAATTTCCAATGACAGTTTGTAAGGTTGAAGCCAAAGACTTGGTCTTTGTCACAAACACGGGGCTGTTTTTCCACCAAGCCTGGTGAGCGGTACATCTTTCTAGACAGCATTCTATCTTTTTTTTTTTTAATTATGGTAAAAAAAAATATAACATGAAATCTACCCTCTTAACAAATTTTTTGATTGTACAGGACAGTATTGTTAACTATATGCACATTGTTCCACCGCCGATTTCTAGAACTTTTTCATCTTGCATGACAGAAACTCTAAACCCATTGTATAGCAACTCCCCATTTCCCCCTTTCCTTAGCCCCTGGCAGCCACCATTCTACTTTCTGCTGCAATGAATTTTAGACAGCTCATTTAAGTGTAATCACGCAGTATTTGTCCTGTGACTGATTTTTTTCATTTAGCATACTGTCCTCTAGGTTCATCCATGATGAAGCATGGGACGGGATTTCCTTGTCATATTTAAGGCAGAATAATATTCCCTTGTATGTATATACAAAATTTTCTTTATCCACTCAACAATCAATGGACACGGGTTGTTTTTGCCTCTTGGCTATAGTGAATAATGATGCAGTGAACATGGGAGAGAAAATATCTCTTTGAGATCCTTTTTTCAATTCTTTTAGATAAATACCCAGAGGTGGGATTGCTGGGTAATGTGGTAGTTCTAGTTTTGATTTTTTGAAGAATCTCCATACTGTTTTCCGTAGCTGCTACACCATTCTACAGTCTCACAGTGTACAAGGTTCCAAGTTCTCCACATCCTCACTGACATTTGTTATTTTTTGCTTCTTTTTTTCTTTTTTTGGATAATGGCCATCCCAACAGGTGTAAGGTGATATCTCATTATGATTTTGATTTGCAGTTCCCTGCGGCTTAGTGATGTTGAGCATTTTTTCATCTGTATGTCTTTTCATTTGTATGCCATTTTTTCATTTGTATGTCTTCTTTAGAGAAACGTCTATTTAAATCCTTTGTTCATTTTTAATTGTTTTTTCTTTTTCTTTTCTTTTTCTTTTTTTTTACTGTTGAGTTGTGGGAGTTCCTTACGTATTTTGGATATTAACCCCTTATCAGGTATATGATTTGCAAATATTCTCTCCCATTCCGTAGGCTGTCTTATCACTGTACTGATTGTTTCCTTTGCTGTGCAGATTTTGAGTTTGATATAGTCCCATTTGTCTATTTCGCTTGTGTTGCTTGTGCTTTTTCCTGCCGAGAAATCATTGCCAAGACCAATACCATGAAGCCTTTCTCCTACATGTTTTTCTAGGAGTTTTATAGTTTTAGGTCTTAAGTTTAAGTCTAATCCATTTTGAGTTGATTTCTGTGTATGGTCTAAGATAAGGGTCCAATTTCATCCTTTTGCATGTGGATATTCAGTTTTCCCAACACCATTTGTTGAAGAGACTATCTTTTCCCCATTGTGTAGTGTTGGCACCCTTGTTGAAGATCATGTTATTGTGTATGTGTGGATTTATTTCTAGGCTCTCTATTCTGTTCCATTAGTCTATATGCCTCTCCTTATGCCAGTACCATACTGTTTTGATTACTGTAGCTTTGTAATATGTTTTGAAGCCAGGAGTATGAGGCCTCTAGCTTTCTTCTCTTTCAAGATTGTTTTGGCTATTCCAGCCCTTTTGTGGTTCCCTATGAATTTTTGCATTTTTTTTTCTATTTCTTAAAAAAATACCTTTGGGACTTTTATAGGGAGAGCGTTGAATTTTAGATCTTTAGGATCTTTGTCTTCCAATTCATGATCATGGGATATTTTCCCATTTATTTGTGTCTTTAATTTCTTTCAGCAGTGCTTTATAGTTTTTAATATACAAGTATTTAGCTTCCTTGGTCAAGTTTATTCCTAGTATTTTGTTCTTTCTGATGATATTGTAAATGGGATTGTTTTCTTAATTTGCTTTTCCTATTGTTCATTGTTAGTGTATAGAAGAGCAACTGATTTTTAGATACTTGATTTTGTATCCTGCAACTTTGCTGAATTCGTTTATCTAAGTTTTTTGTGGAATTGTTAGGGTTTTCTAGATATAAAATTATGTCATCTTGGAATAAAGATAATTTTACTTCTTTCTTTCCAATTTGATTGCCTTTTCTTTCTTCCTTTTTTTTTTTACTAATTGCCATAGCTAGGACTTCCAATATTATGTTGACTAAAAGTGGCAGGAGTGGGCGTCCTTGCCTTGTTCCTGATCTTAGAGGAAAAGCTTTCAGTTTTTCACTGCTGAGTATGATGTCAGCTGTGGGCTTTTCATATATGGCCTCTCTCTTCACCTTTTGGGACTCCCATAATGCAGATGTTGATCCACTTGATGGTATCCCATATGTCCCTTAGGTTTTCTTCACTCTTTTTCTTATTTGCTTTTCTGACTGGATAATTTCAAATGACCTGTCACTGAGTTTGCTGATTCTTTTTTCTCCATAATCACATCTGCTTTGGAACCCCCTCTAGAGAATTTTTCATTTCAGTGATTATATTCTTTAGCTCCAAAATTTCTGTTTGCTTCTTTTTAATATTTCATATCTCTTTGTTGCTAGTCTTATTTTGTTCATGTATTATTTTCTTGAGCTTGTGAGGCATTGCAGGGAGCCCTTTTAAGATATGGATTCCAAGACCATACTGGCAGAGATTCTAACTCAATAGTCTGGAGTGGGGCCTGGGAAGTTATATTTCTGAAAGTTTCCCCAGATGGTTCAGATATGCATCTAGGTTTGGAAACCACTTCCAGTGAAGAGACTACCTTCAACCCCTCCTACCTCCCAGTTCTTTCCAAGATGCCACTATCTGCCTACCAGTATTCTGCCTGTTTGTATCACCTGAGGTCTCTTGAAATCTCTCTGCCTCCAGGTAGTCTTCCTGGATTGAATCCTGTCTGATCACGAGTTTCTTATGACTCTCCCCAGCCCTCTTCAACCCAAAATGTGCCTCCGTTTTTCATTTCTTTATTAATTTGGCATTTCCATTTCATCAGCTTGCTATCTGAGTATTAAGCCATCACCAACTAGAAAACTTCTTGACTAGGTCTGTCCTAATTGTCTCAATATTATTTGGTGACAAAAAGGTGATGAGTGTAGTAGAGGTGGAACTCCAGGAACCTGGGCTCAAGTCTCTGTTCTTCCAGGGTATGACCTTGGACAGGTTGCTTTCCCGCTCTGGGCCTCCGTTTCTTCATCTGTGAAATGAACAGTGGATAGATGGTCTCCATGAGCCTTCCCTTTGGCTCTGACTCTCTCTTTCCTCCCCTTATCACTCCACAGCTAAGGAAGTGGAGCTCTGGAGACACTCCTGAAACTCTGCCCTAAATCAAGGGAACCAGAGGGTCCACCAGTTCTCGCTCCAACTCCCTTTCCAGAAGCAGCCATGGCCCTGAGTGATGTCGATGTGCAGAAGCAGATTAAGCACATGATGGCTTTCATTGAGCAGGAAGCCAATGAGAAGGCAGAAGAAATAGATGCCAAGGCAGAGGAAGAGTTCAACATTGAGAAAGGACGCCTCGTGCAAACCCAACGACTGAAGATTATGGAGTATTATGAGAAGAAGGAGAAGCAGATAGAGCAGCAGAAGAAAATCCAGATGTCTACCATAAAGAATCAGGCAAGGCTGAAAGTCCTGAGGGCTCGAGATGACCTCATCTCAGAGTTGCTGAATGAGGCGAAGCTGAGACTCAGCAGGGTTGTAGCAGACCCAGAAATCTATCAGGGGCTGCTCGATCAGCTAGTGCTCCAGGGACTGCTCCGGCTGCTGGAGCCCGTGGTGATTGTACGCTGCAGGCCACAGGACCTCCTCCTGGTGGAGGCTGCGGTGCAAAAAGCCATCCCTGATTACATATCAGTCTCCCAAAAACGTGTGGAAGTCCGAGTTGATCAAGAGGTGCACCTGGCCATGATGGCAGCTGGAGGTGTGGAGGTCTACAGTGGCAATCAGAGAATAAAGGTTTCCAATACCCTGGAAAGTCGGCTGGACCTCTTAGCCCAGCAAAAGATGCCGGAAATACGAAAGGCCTTGTTTGGAGCCAACGCCAACAGGAAGTTTTTTATCTAACCCTCTGGGAAGTGCAGCTCTTGTTGAACTGCTTAAGCCATAAAAGCATAAGTTATTAGGGCAAAGGAAACTAGTAATGTTTCCTCCTCTTTGTTGCTCTGATATTAGTCTATCTACTTTCATTAAATACCCTTTGAACAGCTAAAGTCACTTTGGAATAAAGCCTAACTTAATGCTCAGAAATCCAATTCCAGTTCATCCATATATACCCCAGCTTCTGGTCAGCTTTGCAGCCTGGGAGGAAAGATGTCTGCTCTTTAACTCGTCCTCCGGGTGAGATGTGAATGGTATCCTTGGCCTCTGGGTCTGAGTGCTCAAATTTCTTTAATATGTATGTGAAGTATGTTTTCCTTCTTTTGTTTCAGCTTCCTGTTACTTATGTCATTTAATGAGGTTTAGAGATCTTCCTCATGTGTATAGGGCCAACTTCATGGGCATATGACTGGAGCAGTCACACAGGGCTTCACCTTCAGAGGAACCCGGTGCTTAGGATCTAATGCTCTGTAGCCACGGCCCCATAATTCTTAATTTCGTCTTTGGATGTATTTCGTAAGTGAAGCCCAATAGGACTTTGGAGCGTGCACCAGGAGCTTGAGCCTTGGCTCATGCATGGTACCAACTCCCAAAGCCTACCCACCTCCTTGCAGTGGGTTCCTGGTCACCCACTTCCCAGCTCCCTGGTGCCCAAAGACTCAGCCTTCCCCTCCCTCACCCTGTGAACATTGCTGCCCTCTGGCCCTGGGAAAGCCTGGTGTGCATGCAGGGAGAGGCAGGGTCGGGTGTGCCTGCTCTGCACTCTCAGGGCTGGGCATAATGGTGACCATCTCTGCCCCAGGCTGGCAGCTTCATGGCATATTCAGCAGATGACTCTCTCACCCACCAGGTATTGAGCACATCCCAGTGTGGAGGTTTAAAGACCCTGGGGATCACCTGTCTGCTGTGAGTTGGATCGTGCAGGCTACTAAAATGGGAGAGGCCTGGCTTGACTTCCTTGACCCCAGCCAGGGCTTAACACATTGATCTGGGGGCTGGTGGGAAGGAGGACCCAGCAGTTATCATGCTTGCTGGGACTGAGTCTCAGGGCGAGAACTTCAGGAACTCATGAGGGTCTGCACTTGTTCTGTAAAGTGTCCCGGTCCCTGACAGAGTTGTCCATCTGACAGCTCAGTGCCTGGGCGGACTTGGGTTCCTCACTTCCGGCCAGCTTGATACATTTTTCTAGGAAAAGCAAGAAATACAGATTGTGTAATTTCAGTGATTCTCCATATGGGCATTACACAATATAAAGATAAGTGATAAAATTCATGCTAATGACTTAAATTTTACTTAGACATTAAATAGGAAATAAACACCGTGACAAGTAAAAAGAGAGACTGTAGAAGAAAGGAAAAACCTTTATAGTTTAGTACCTTTAATTGTACTTTTTGAACAAAAGATGCCACATTTTCATTTTTCATTGGGCCCTGTAAATTACGTAGCCGGTTCTGCATATGTATGGTGATTTAAGGTCTAATCTATGCCTGAATGTCATTTATGTATTAAAATAAAAGGTTTTTGAAGAAAAGAAACCACAAGCAACTCTGCCAAAAGCAAAGGCCTGACCTGCGTGGTCCAGACTGTGTAAGGAACAGAAATCCTGTGAAGCTCAGCTACAAAGTAGAGGATAGGTTATTAGTAAACAGAGATGTCTCCCAGAAGCAGGGACAGGAATCTTTCATGCTCCCAGGAGAGGGCTGGACTTGGGGATCAGAAAGCCATCTGAAATCCTCTACCTGGCCACCTTATTTTCTTTCTTTAAGGAGTGACTTTCTCTACTGTCCAGTTTGAATGGTGGCATATGCATGCCCCGCAAAGTTTACACTCCAAAGTTTACGTGTTGCAGTTCCAGAAACAAACTTGCTTCTCTTCGAACCAATTCCACTTTCCTGAGAGGGAATCTATTTGGCCCAGCTCAGCTCAGATGTCCACCTATGGTCCAGTTGGCATCTGGGGCAGTTCTCAGAGAAACGAGGTTCTTTGTCAGCTAGACAGACTCCCCAACAGGGCGTCTTTTATGTGGGCCCTTTTGAGTTGCAAATTCAGTCATTCAGTGAACATTTTCTGAATGCCAGCAATGAGCTAGGCCCTGTGCTAGGTGCTGGGCTGCAAAGAATACAGCCGGGTCCTGTCCTTTCACTAGGCATAGACACATATGCAGATGACGATCATGGTAATGACACAACGTGGGTGTACAGCCTAGTGTTGTACACAGGGTACTGTGGAAATACAGTAACAGGAAGAGAAGGTCACAGTGGGCTTCTGGAATGTTGGAAGTTGAGCTGGGGAAAGCACTCCAGGCAAAGTGGAGGATGTATATGCAAAGGCCCTGAGGTGTGAAAAGCAAGTTGTGTTAGACTATGTGTAGTTCAGTGTGACAGAGTGTGAGGGTCGAGGGGGAAGTGACTACGGATCATGCTGGAAAGATGTACAGGGCCTGATTACGTGCTGTGTGCCCTGCTTAGGAGTTAGACTAGTTCTGGTGGGTGGGTGATGAGGAGTCATTGAAGGACTTTAAATAAAAATGAAACTATGAGAGCGGGGCTTTTATAGGATTATTCTAGTGTCAGTGTATGTGGAAGACACATTGAAGGGAGGGAGGGACTGGAGGCAGGAGCCCTGTCAAGGTTAGGGGTGGGGTGCTATTTATCAGCCTAAGTGAGACATGATAAATAATCTACCCTGCTCTTTTGTGAGGTAGGTCAAATTCACTGATACAGGGGCTGGAAGACATTAGAATCAGGGACCCATGTCCTAGCCACTCTCGCCTCCCCCCACCCCCAATAAATCCTTTCACTTGACCAGGGTTTGAGGCTTTCCGTAAGTTTCACATCATCTTACACTTTTTCTTGGGGTCTCCCTACCCTCAGAGCCTTCCCCTTCTCTCCAAGCCATGATTCCAGGCCCAGCAAAGCACCCCCTTCCCAGCTGACAGAGCCGCCAGCCACAGCCCCATCTGGGAACTTGGGCACCACTTCCTGCTGTAACCTGGGAGTGTATGAACCCCTTCGGCCACCCCAGCCCTGCCAGCTGAGCCAGCCTCAATCCATTACTGGGGCCCCGACATTAATTCATCTCCAAAAAAATGGACAGCCATGTGGGTGTTAGGAAAGGTTTTATGGGAAGTTGAGGACAGCTTGACATAGTGCCTGTGGGACAAAATTTCCCCTAAGTCCCATTTCAACATCTCTCTGTTTTCCCAGACTTTTCCTTCTTCCCAATCTTTTCCTCCTCGGCCTCTCAACCGGTGAGTTCCAGTCTCCTCCCTTATCATGTCCCCTCAGCAAAACAAAAACCGGTGGCTAACCAAGCCCTCCCTCCCACCGTCCCTGGCTGCAAGGACCACCGCTGCCAGTGAGGACTTCTCAGGCATTGCCTTTATTACTCTTAGCTGCTTTTTCTACTTGGCTCACACAGCTCCTTATGGGCAGGGCCTATGACTTTATTCTTCTCTGCATTCTCTGCTGCCTTGTTATTTTAGTGCTGACACTGGGTCTGCACGTAGTAGGTTCTGAACAAGCATTTATGGCTCTGCTTTCTGGAAGGGGGCCTCCAGGATCTCTCTCCTCTTCTGCCCACAGAATGTGCCATAGGAAAGGGCAGGTATGTGACACGGGAGTCAGGGGAAGGGTGCCTGCACCGGATTCCAGGGGTGGAGCTGGACAAGGAAATCCTTCTCTCTGCTCCTGGGGAAGGCTGTGGATGGCCGGAGCCTCTGCCTCTCTTCGGTCCAGGGCTTGGTCACCTCCTGAGCAAGCCAGGGGGTTTATTGCATCCCTTCCCACTTGGGGAAACAAGTGGGAGGCGCTTTGCTTTGGACCTGAATGCAAAGGCAGGGGCTGGCTCCTCCTTAGGGGTGAGGCAAACCTTAGCCCTCCAGTTTCTGTAGCACCAAGGCTAGCCTTGACCTGTGGGGCAGGGTGTTTGTCGCCATTCTGACAACTGCACTCCTGGAGGGGTCTTTGCTATAGAAATGCTTGCACTGGGCACTTTCTGTTAGTTGCCCGGTACAAACTTATATGCATTCTTTATTAGCGTTAACCGCCTTACCCTGGAGCAGGCGTGTTCCTCCATAAGCTCCTCAGTCCCCCGAGCCAAAAGGAGCAAACTGTTACAACCGCAGGCAGGCGCAACCCCTCCCCACCCCTCTCCTCATTAACACTTCCTCTCGAGGTGTGAGGGAAGCTGTTTGTGGCTGATGCAGACAGAGGCTGTGCTCAGGGCGAAGCTTCTTCAGTAGGCTCACTCCCTGCTGGGGGAGGGCTGGGGAATCTGAACACCCACACAGCCGCCTGCCCCTCACTGAGCTGCCGTCCCACGAATCCTATTGGCAGGGATAACTTGGTGGAGAGAGAATGTAGAGTTAGTTTTGATCCTGAACTGCCTGGAGAGCCAGAAATGGAGGGGATGATTTGAGCATGTGCTGGAAACTCATAGAAGGCAGGGAGAACAGAACAGCAGAAGAGAAAATGCTGCAGGGCTTCCTCTCTGGCCCTGGAGTCCCAGGACCCCCACAAGTGGGTCAGCAGATCTACTCTGGGTGAACCATAACCCCCCGCACCTCTGAGGAAGAAGAGCAGGCCCAGGGAAATTGCTCAAGTCTTCGCCCCTTCCTATGCTCTCCTCTGCATCCAACTCATTACCTCATCTCTGAAATCACGCTTATGACTGACAGTGCTGGGAAGGGATCCAGTCTCTCCTCCCACCCCCACCTTCCTAAACTTTGTTCTCAAGCATGATAAACCCTCACTCTCTCATAGTACCCCAAAGCTTTCTCGCACAATCTCACAGCTCACCCTGTGGTTTTTTCCTGCAAAACAGCACCCGTTTCACTAGGAGGCAGTCCACTCCACTTCTCTCTGCAGACTCAGCAAAAGGGATCCCTCGCTCGCAGAGACAGTCCTGGCAGACCCTGGCTCAGCTGGACCACACCCTCCCCCCTACCCTTGGAGTGACGGACTTGAGGACATTCTTTTGTCGCTGGGAGATGAGCCCCAAGGGGTGAGGTTTGATTCATTATGGCGGCTACCGAGCCTGAGTGGATTCATGTCCTGGAGGTTACAGAAAGTTTAGAACTGGAAGGGATCTTGAGGACCAAATGTTCATTTGAATCTGAAGCTCAGAGGAAGCGAGGAAGGAGTCCAGGGTCATAATCAGCTTATGAG